ATGTAGGGGCCTAAATAATTGCCTGTACTTTTTTGGGGGTTCCTTATTATACTTATAGTCTAAGTGCACCCCAAACCCTATTTAGATTAGTAAGGACCCTATATTATTTAGATTGAAGGTGTCTTTCTTGGGGATCCGTGGGATTCGAGGTTTTGGGCTTTAGGTTATTCGTGCTTTCGTTTTTTAAGGCTTTCAGGTGGAGGGTTTTGGCTTAAGGCCTTTGGGCCTGCCCGGGGAAGAGTTTGCTGCATCTCCGATATGGGTTTCCGCGTTTACATCCTGTTGACAAGGAGTGGGTACAACAAGCAACATAGGGGCGTCAGCAGTTATAATCGGGTTTGGGGATACATTATAGTAGAACTATACCTGGGAATTCCAAGTAATACTTTGCATTCAGGAGCTTACATTGCCCTTAATTACTGATGTGTTCTGCGGCTGCCTGGTGGTTGGTCCTGTATCCGCTGCAAGTAGAATGCACAGCTTGTTACTTGGGTGGTCTCCGCTGTTCTCATTCTCCATCCACAGTCAAGGCTCGCTTCGCTCTTCTCCCATGAAATGAGGCACCTCCCCCGATCCCAAATAATGCTGACTCGTTTCAGTCTTTGATTCTGGGCCCGGAAGTTTCACACCCACCGGCCTCACTCCTAAAGCTAGACGAAGGGCGCGAAGCCAGGAGCATCAAGGATCGTCCCTGCATCTTCAAGATCTTGCCACGCAAGCCCGCAAATCTTCCTGAAAGCTCTAAACCCCTAAACCCCTAAACCCCTAAACCCCTAAACCCCTAAACCCCTAAACCCCTAAACCCTAAATCGTGAGCGCTGCGCTGGAAGCCCGTTGCCAGGAGCTCCGCGCCCGGCGAGAGGCATTGCTCCAGGAGCCCGGGCTGGCGTTCAGACCTGACGAAGAGAATGCAACCCTTGATTTTTTGTTTTTGGTTTAGGGTTTAGGGTTTAGGGTTTACGGTTTTGGGGTTTAGGGTTTAGGGTTTAGGGTTTAGGGGTTTAGGGTCTAGGGGGTTACTATGAGAAGCCCATATAGTTACCCATATTATTCCTTAGGGCCCCTTCGAAGAGAATACAACCCTTGATTTTTTTTTTGGCCGTGCTCAGGGCTACTATGAGAAGCCCAAATAAATTTTACATATTCTTTCTTAGGGCCCCTTCTTATAAATCTACCACCAAAGGAGCCCAAAACCCCATTCCAATTATGAAGGCCCCTAGATTAGGGTCTAGGGTTTAGGGTTTTGGAATGGAGTTCCCTTAATGGGTCAACCTCCAGGTTCAGGGTCCAAGAAAATTTTGCGGCTGAGGCTTCTGTGCTTCGAGGAAGGCTCTCATGTGTTGAAGCGGTAGCCCTTTGAGCTATCCCTCCTGAAAATCCCAAGCCGAAGGAACCCCAATATTAGACGTCGGAATAATTTATGCTAATTTGAATGTGGAGCCCTTGAAAATTTCAGCACAACATACCACCCAAAATCCATCCTGATAATTAGGGCCCCTGTAGCAGGCCCTGAACTCTAAAGAGAGACCGCTGTCGTAAGAAGGAGAGAGGGTGGGCTGTGACAGACTCCGAGCGGCAGCAGCCGCGCCTGCAGGGATGAGATGGGCCTCCTCGCTCGGGTCTTGTGTAATGTAGGGGCCTCAATAATTACCCATATTATTTTGGGGGTTCCTTATCATAATTATACTATAAGGGACGCCAGAACCCTTTTCTAGTTAGTAAGGCCCCTACGTTAATATAGGGGCCGGAATGCTTGCACCGCTTCGCTCATACATTTACAGAACAACAACACCATTAAACCCCAAAGCCAAAAAACAGTACGGTCCCTAAGTCACTAAGTCAGGGAACTGTAAGCTTTGCAGGCCATCCGCAGAAAAGATCGCCTTATTTGGCTGCATTCGTCTTTGGGTTGCGGTGGTGGTGGTGGTGGTGGTTGTGGTGGTGGTGGTGGTAGTGGTGGTGGTAGTGGCAGTGGTAATGGCAGTGGAGTGGTAGCGGCGGTGGCAGTGTCACTGACGGTGGTAGTGGTAGTGGTAGAAGAATATGTAGCAATCAGATACTAAATTACTAAATCTTGGTATGGTGCGAAGATACAAAGCTGAAACAAGAGTCGTTGGATAAATGCGCGGACACACACACACATACAGAGATCTCCCTCTCTCTTTGTCTCGCTCTGTGCTTCTTAATCTCTGTCTCTCTTCCTCGTTCTCCCTCCTGTTGTGCGTTCATGTATGCAGGTAATCAGAAGTTCTCAACATGTCGTGTCATAGTCGTGTAGACAGCCGCAAAGCCCAAGTGAAGTTGCTGCGGCCCTGAACTGAATCTCGACGAGTTGGGCCCAGAAGAAAGAACTTGTGCGATGCTCTACCGTAGCCCAGTCATCAAAAAATGCTCGAGTGCAATAGTGCCAAAGGGACAGCTGCAGCAATGCTCTAGACCCGCACTGCCCCAGCCTCGTCAGGCCACCCTCAATCCCAAACTCTAAACCCTGCGACCCTCAGCTCGTCAACATGTAATACAGGGGCCTTAATAATTTGAGTAGGGTTTTGGGGCGCATGTTAATTATAATTACAATAAGGAACTCCCCAAACCCTATTCTAATTATTAAGGCCCCGATAGTATTTTTGTGTGTGATATAATATGAGCCACGCATAGTTTATTTTTTATATGTTGTATGAAAGCCAGAGTCTCTCGAATCCGCTACTTACAGGGGCCTGCTGTAATCAAAGCGGCTGGACGGACCGAGTAGCAATATCCAAACTATCTAGCAGCATACTGCTCTTATGAGATATGAAAGCCACGCAAGCATAGCAATAGAAGCACACTCAACCCTGAACCTTCTAGGCCCTAAGCCCGAAGCCCTACATGCTGAACCCCGAGCCATAACCTCTGGACCCTATAAGCCCTAAGCCCTGAGCCAAAAAGCCCTCATCCTCTTCTTTTCGGACCATGTGGCCATGGCGGGCGATCGAAGCCGCAGCCGCAGCCGCAGCAACGCGCGGAGTTCCTCCTCCTCCGAGGCTCCAGCAAGGGCGTTTTCTAGCGATTTTTGGGCGTGGTTTGGAAGGTTTAGGGTTTAGGGTCCCTCTAGCAAGTCTTTAGGTCAGCAGTCGTCATCAAAAACGAAACACGATCAATAATATGCACGGGAGACTGCAAACCATGCGATTGCGAAATGAAATGTACCAAAAGTAACAGTGACCAACCAGTGACAAAAAGAGTCTCATTGCTATGAAGAGCGCGGTAACAGTAGCAAGAGTCATGAGGTGCGAACAACAAGGATGAATGGGCACCCGTAGCATTTTTTGTCCACAACAGCTACAGCAAGCATAGGGATAGCTTTGGCGACAGGAGTATTCGTAGCAATGTGGACACCAAAAGATTGTCGGACCGAGATTCGGGCAAGAAGAAGAAGACAGCTAAGCAGAACAGTTATGATCTAAGCACGAACGAAAGATTTCGAGTTTCTGACATTGGAGGTCATTTTGGGTTGTGCGGTTTGGGCCCGAGATCTCGGCAGTTCACGCGAGCCCATGGTTTCCGGGCGAGATTCGGTTTCAAGACCAAGGGCTCATACCCGAGAGCCCACATCAACGTCAGGCTGCATCCGAAGTGCTGTCGGCGAGGTCGGGGGTAGGATCCATGCTGAGTGAGGGCTCGGATCTGAAGGACTTCACAGGGAAGCCGGGTCCGATGGGGAGGGGTCTTATAATGTAGGGGCCTTAATAGTTTCAATAGGGTTTGGGGGTGTATCACGCTAGAATTATAATCAGGAACTTCCAAAATAGTATAGGTAATTACCAAAGCCCCTACATCACCCGAGGTTTCTCCTCTTTACCCGGAAGTCTGCAGCGTCGGAGTTGCTCGCTTTTGAAGCCCTTTACCTCGTAGGGAAAACTCGGAACCTGGAGCCTAATATAGGGGCCTGAATAATTAGAACAGGTTTTTTTGGGTATATTATACTCTAATTAAGAAATAAGGAACCCCCAAAACCCTATTCTAATTATTAAGGCTCATATATTACTGGCAGACAAAGCTCTTCCGCGCCGGCTTCCGACGACGACATCGAGGACTGTGAGGAGGCGTGTGCTGCCGGGGCGTTGGCTTGGAGACCATCAGCCTTAAGGGCTTAGGGTTTAGGGTTTAGGGATTTTTCTGATAGTTAAGGTCATGATCTGCTAATTTGATCTAGGACAGGTTCTCCGTATGTCAATAGAGGAAGCACGATGTGCAACAGCTCGTGCAGTATCGGCGCTGCAAGCCGGGTTATCCAATTTGCTCCAATTTTTGCCTCAAACCCCAAAACCCAAAACACTAAACCCTAAACCCAAAACCCTAAACCCTAAACCCTAAACCCTTAACTGCAGGGCCAGAGCCTCCACGCCATTCGTCCTGGAGTCCTGCTCTGTGACCGCTTCCGCGTTCGTGGGCGGCTTGGAACAGGACTGGTCTCTGTCTCTGCATTCCGATGCCCAAATCGTCGTCGCTTTGTGTCGTTGTCATTGTCGTGGTGTCTTGTTGTGGGCGTGGCTGCGGCGGAGGTGGTCGTCGTCGTTATTGTTCTTGGTGGCTGTTGTTCCTCTTCTGGTTGTGGTTTCTTGGGTCTGATCTGTAAAGCATCAATGCGAAAGTCTTTCTGCCACCTTCAACCTCGCTCTTCAACTGCAACAAGTATGCTGCCGTGTAGTGGTCTGCCCTCCTTGCAGGAGCATTTGCCACTGTCTGGCTCTGCGCTGATGAGGCAGTCTTAGAGTTGCGAGAGGGAGCCAAGGAGGGATTATGCGGTGTAGTCTCTTTCCACCAGTTTTGCTGTTTGAACTCAGCCGCTATGGAATCAATCACCTTTCCGCCTGAGCTGTTGACCTACTAAGCCTCTCCAGCTCGGTGCTGCGTCAGGAGCAGGAAGAGGATAACTTCGGCCATGTGGCTCTGAAGGTGCATCTCGATCTCGATTGTGGGTCCGTGTGGGTCCTATTGCAGTTGACTTCTTCCGTATATAATATACCGGTCCCGGGCGACTTTCGTTCTTGGGCACGGGACGAAGGGTTGAGAAGCAAGTAGGGTTTTGCGTCCGGGGCGTAGGATAGGTATCTTCACATTCTCCGTGGCGAAATAGAGAGATTTTGCTTGGCCGTGCTACCGTGACACCCAGACTGGAGCCCAAACTCTGGACCTGAATCCCCAAACCCGAAAAGCCCAGTGAGCCCCCAGAGAGGCGGGTAGGCTTTCCTCGATTCGCATGCTGTCATTCAGTTTCAGTTTCGATTCAGGGCCTCCCTGCAACAGTTTGAGTTCGCTTCTTTCCGAAACATGCTCTGCGACGGCAACCCCGCATCCCACACCTAAACGAAAAAGCCATGCCGGAGCGTGCGGACTCCGTTGATTTTATTACGACGCGTTCCAAACCGTAAGGAAACCAAGGCGTGCTCGAGGGACTTTGCAGCAGAAGCCTTTGGGCGCGGACATGCAGCGTGCCTGAGTGCTTTTGGCACCAACGCGCCCTTCATTGAGGCACACCCTGCAACGCCTAAATCCTGCAACTCCTAAGCTCCTAAACCCTAAATTCCAAAAACAAGCCCTAAGCCTAAGTCCCAACAGTCTGGACCCTGAGCCCTTTTCCTGCAAGCCCACGGCTCCGAGGTACAGGGCCGTGGATCGCTACCAGCTCTACGCTTTGGAGGAGGCAAGGCGGCTCAGGAATTGCCGGGACGCGACGTCTGAACAACCAAGGTTCCTAGGAATTAACACCAATGATGGTACAGTGTAGCTATAGTACTCAGTAGTTATTTATACATACCAGCAGTATAGTTTGATTATTAAGGCACCCTTATCTATCTATTACCCGCCTGGCAAGCCCATTGGCGGGAGGACAGTGCAAATCCCAGGAAGGATCGTCAAAAGCATCTCTTGGCTTTGCGCCCGAGTTCCTAAAATTCAAAACCAGGTTTGGGATTTCGGGTTTGGGTGTAGCGTTTAGGGTGTAGGGTTTAGGGTGTAGGGTCAAGCAACTAAACTTGAAACCTCTTCAAAACTAGATCCTACGCCCCGCCCCAGAAGCCCAGAACCCTAAACCCTAAACCCTAAACTAAACTCTAAGCCCAACAGAACCCGGAGCACGGCCTCTCCCCAGAGTGGTCTCCTGCGCAATGCGGCGGAGCTCGCAGAATCTCGCCCGCCATCCTTGGTGGGCCTACTGGGGTGCCCTGGCCACGAGATTTCAACTGTCTTGGCCTGCAGGGTTGGCTTTTCATCAGCTCCTCCGAATGATACTGGCATGTCCTTTTTCTATCTCAGTCTAGAAGAGTAGTCTAGGAGAATTTTTCCGTGAGCAAACCTCTGCCTGGGTTTGCCGGTCAGCGCCGGAAGCCTCGCGGAAAATGCCGCCTTCCAGGCTCTTTCCCCACCAGGGCCCGGCATGCCAGCATGCCTGCGTTGCCCTAGAGGCCGGGAGGGACTTTAGCCCTTGAAAACTACCGTTCAGGGTTGGGCCTCCTTGAGTGCATGTGTGCGGGAGAAGCGTGGCCATGAGAGGTGGTGCAGCGCCGGCCCAGCAATGATTGCAAGAGCAGAAGGATTCGGGCAACCGGGGCAGAATGATCG